ATAAAAACACACAAAACCACTTTGTCACTGGGTTGAGAAACCCCCAGGCTGGGCAACTCCCCGCTTATTCTTCACTTTCTTCTTTTTGCTGCTCCCTTTCGGGGTCATGACAGCGGATTATCTGCCTCCATCTTAGCTAACCCTAGGATCCTCCTCTGTCACACCGACCCTCTGCATGTCCTCCTTCACTACTGCCTTCACTGTGGTCGCCTTTTTTTCTTCCTACCTAGCAGCTCCACCTTCAATATCCTTTGTCCAGTATATCCACTATCTCGCCTCTGCACATGTCCAAACCATCTCGCCCTTGCCTTTCGAACTTTGTCCCCAAACTGCTCAAGCTGAGCTGTCTCTCTGAGGTACTCACTTCTAATCTTGTCCATCCTGTTTAGTTTCAGTGAAAATCTTCATGTGCCACCTCCAGGTCTACCTCCTGTCTTGTTCTTAGTGCCGCTGTCTCCAAACCATACATCATAGCAGGTTTCACTACCATTTTGTAAAAGATCCCTTTTACTCTTGACGATATCTTTCTGCAGTCACTGCTTTCACCTCTGAACCTCCTGCCTTTTCTTCTCTCTCGCTATCTCTTAACATGTCTTCCCCGCTTTCTTCTTTTATTGTTTTAGGCTAACAGTAGCACAATGTCCACCAGCACACTGTTGGCCACAAAGAGGGTCGTTGTTAACCCAGACTCGGACCGATCCTGTATGAAAATGACACATAAAGAATGAGACATGCTTCATTTGGCCAAGATTTTACGCCCTTCCTGATGCAGCCTCCCCGTTTATCTGGACTTGGTACCATCAATAGGAGTACACTGGTCGCATTATTTAAACTTTTCTCCATGTTGTTATGAGCATACACCATTGTAGCAGTATATGACTGATAAGAAAAGCATAATAGGCCCCTTTCAACATGGAAAAGCTGAACTCTTGTCTCCTGCAGTAAGGAGATCTGAGGCATCTGTCATGCGATGGGGAGGTAGGATTTGACTTCACTTGTACCCTGAGAGGGAACGGTCACTGCAAATCCATACAATCATCACAAATACCCATAAATATATTATATTATATTATACTATAAATATGAATTGGATACCTTAAAGAGAACCTTTTTGTCTCCTCTTAACCTTAAATATGTAACATGACTTTTGGTCTTTTCTTAGTTTTTTGTTTTATTAAATCTCTTCCTTTCTTCATGCCAGTCTCCTATTACAACCTGTAAGGTAATAAATAAATAAATATAAAAAAATAAAATCACCTGAAACAAAATGGAAAGATTTTTTTTTTCATGCTTCACGACTACAGAAGTAGAGATGTCAGACGTCCATCTAGATGTAGTTTAACTTCAAACTTAACAATCTGTCCTGGAAAAAGGCAGCAGGAACTTGAATGCAAAGATGTCTAAAATAACCAGGCCTGTTTAATGTGTCATCTATCATTGTTTTGTGTATGTGTGTATATGTGAAAGTGTGTGTGTTTGACTCAGAGAGAAAGATTCAACGATCCCTCTGTAATTGCCTGCTGAAATGACACCGTTAGAAATAGGAGCCCGCTAGGTCAAAGTGGTCTAGTTGCCTTCATCAAAATCAATAAATCAGCCAGTGGACTGAAAGAGAGAGGGAGAGAGTGTTTGTGTATGTGCACACACTCGTGCGTGTGTCTGATTGATACCTTTTTGTCGTTTTCCTCCTCGTCTTGATGGTCATTCTGGACTCTATAGACCATAGACCACACTTCCTCAATAAGAGGTGACACCAACAGGGACGCTATTTATTTGAGGTCGATGCATTATTCATAACTGTGGCGAGGGGCAGAAAATATCTGCCTATTAGTGGGCAAAAACCCTTCTGGACACTCATTATAATGTTCCGGAAATTTTGACTTAAAGGATCTGTTTGAAAAGAAGCAGGATTTGGGCTTAAATAAAGCATGGCAGCTTAGAATAATCAGGAGGCTGTGAAAGGAAAACCGCCACCTCATGGCAGTATGGGTGAAGGGGAGAGTGTTTTTCTCTGTCCTTTCTCTGCTGTACAGTTTTGCATTTATTTTAATTTACTTTAAAGGGTCTTTTTTCTCTCTGCAGGAAATTCTTAAGTCAATTCAATATGCCAGAACATCTAATGTTTTCTGAAGAGAGCATGAAAAAAGGCAGAAACAAGGAAATAGTTGTTTGGTTACCAGAGTGAACCCTGTTCTCTGAGACACACCAAAGAAAACACAGCAAGCTAACATGTTCACAATAAAAATGCACATTTGCTGTTGTTTAGCAGATTTATCATTTACTTCATCATCTTACTTTAGCATGCATCCGATGATTATTGCTAAACCCAAAGTGGCATTCATAAGAGGGCAAGAGTGCATTTGCAGCTAATCTCTGAACATATTTCAGTCTGGACCAAACTACCAATTAACCAACACTGCCACCTATCACACCACCAAATGCAACTCAAGATGGTAAACCTAAAATCAATCATGTATTTGTACATGAATCACCTATACATAATGATTTGCTTGTATATTCAATTGATGATTCAAGTTGAAGATGATTCCACTCAATTTATGGATTTCCATAATCCAAGTAATGTGACTGGCATAACCAGCCTATTGTATGCCTGACATGATGTATTCTCGGAGCTGTGGATGAGCAACCAATGGTTACCAGGGGGTTAGTGAGTGGCCTGTAGGCCTGCATAACTGTGGCTTCAGTAATTGATTTAACAGAAATTGCCAGCAGCCACTCTCAACCAGTCAGGGAATACTTTTTCCCTAGCAACCACCGGTTGCCAGGCGAGAAGCCAGTCTCTAGTCCTGTATGACTGGAGCCTTAAGTAAAAAAGTGTCAATGCATCTGTTTAATTTTCAGAATTATCTAACAAAACATTAACAGCAACACTGTTGTTAATTTTTGTCATGGAATAAATCTGTAATTGAGGTTTTGCAGACGTGACAATTAACAATGTAACATCACTTGGCCGAAAAAATGATTATTCCCTGATTGATTGTGTTTGTTTGCTGGAGGTTGACAGCTGGTTGCTGGGAAAATAATTGCCAAAGCCTCCAGGCACACAGACCGACCGTCAAGGACCGTGATTGCTTTGTTTGTTAGCATATAAACTTTTACCTTTTACCATAAATTTCTTAATTTGTCAGTTCTTTAGTCCAAGAGATGATTTGGGGATACTTGTTGATAGCTTTCAAATGATATCACATACCCAAAAATTTGGCAACCAATAAGGTGTCAATGGGAAATATTCAAAAATTGATAGAATATCATAAATAGACTACCTTTAAACCATTTACGTTGCCTTGTTCTGAAGTATATCAAGGAGTTTTTGGTCATTGGCCCCTTATGTGCCGTATATATATTCAGCATGTATATGCAGAACACACACGTGTGTGTGTGTGTGTGTGTGTGTGTGTGTGTGTGTGTGTGTGCGTGTGTGTGTGTAAAGTTTCATTTTAAGGTTGTTCTTGCAGAAGCCTGCCAATTGCACTGATAAACTAAGCTTTTGTTTCCGCTTTTTGTCTTCAGGTGCAGAGTTTCTTCTCTGTTTAGATTCAGATTAATGATTGAGCCTTTTGGAGAGTTTATCTGGAGTACCTGCGTAATGTCCAGCTTTTACCAAGGGAAGCGTTGTCTTGACTATCTGATGAATGTTTACTATCTCCTCTGCACACATTGCATTCACATTAACTTGAACATTCACAGGAGTCCATTCTCTCAGCTTGTCTGAAATGCTGGTTAGGCATAGCAATGAGATGTTGTGCCGATGGATTTAAGAAAGAGGAACATTAATCACAAGCTACAAGTATCAGTTAGAGCACACACCCATACACCATTGTATCGGGCAACAGCATTGCAATTGAACCAGATGCACAGCAAGCTCATTCAATATGCCATCCCTTTGTTATCATCCTGGGACATTGCAGCTTCAGAGGGTGTTTGTGTGTATTTGGGTTGATATCTGTATGTGTATGTAACCAATAATAAACCATAACTAATAATTACCTTTAAAGATAAAAATGTAACCTAACATCACTTTAAATTTACAGTTTCATTCATAATACAGAAGAAGTGGGAGGTAGTTCTCATTTGCTAATTATTACTGAGAGACTAATGATGAGAGGATTGATAAATTCTCACATCTGGGTAGTAAATATTATCTTAGCTTAGTATAGCTAGCTAGAAACAGCTAGCCTACATCTAAAAGAGATAAAGAAAATCCACTTATTGACTTATCTGATGCACACTAATTAATTTCTTCTATATGAATGACTTAATTTCATCAAAAAAAACAACATTTAAAAAAACAACAACATTGATCTTTAGCTGGACTGTTAGCAATAGCAGCTAATCTGCTTACAGTCCTGTGAGCTGTTGTAGTTTATTATGACTTGATAGATATCTTTCTAAGCTATGTTTGTATTTGTTATATCTAACATATCTTATCTTCATTTTGATTAGATTAAAAGATAATTATTATATATTGGGTATTATAATGAACTTATAATAAAATACTGCAGTTTAAAAAGCTTTAGTGTTTCTTTCCTATAGACTCAATAAATAAATGAAGGTTAAGTCATTTTCTGATGTGGACTGATTGTACACAGATCTAAGGGTACTGAAAAAAAAAAAACTTACCTTACCTCGATCTGTAGTTGTTGCTGTGCTGTCAAAAGCTAAGTACACCCTTACTTCTTGCATAGGACTTAAGTGCACTCAAAAAAGTCAACTAAGGCAGTTTTTTGATTAATTCAATAGACATTTGTCTATTTAACATGAACATATTGAGTTTAGGTTTTTAAATCATTATCAGTTGTTGGTTTAACATAAATAACAAAAGTTTAATGAACTAGATTTGCATTCTTCAGTTCAATTAAATGTAATTATTTTAAATCAACAACTCTAAAAACCGATGCCTAGTGCGCATGCTCAAACTTCCCAAAAGTGAAGAGGCGGGAACGCGGAGAAGTTATATGTGTTCAGTGGACTGCCATTCCCTCTGCGGAATCTTCCACAATACAGGTAAGTAATAAATAACTCAAAATATCTTAGTCAAATGAAGTTGTTTTGTCATTAATTGTTTAACAATGTTTTAATTCCAAATGTGTAAGTTGTCATTAGACAGCGGGAGTGGAGCAAATACAGTGAAAATCTGGTATTAGACGGTGCCATCGGTACCGTCTAATACCTGATTTATAATCCGCTCTGGGTATATTTATACTATTATTAGCATTTCCACTTCATTGTTTTTCTTTTTTTTTTTTTTACCCGTTTTTGCAGTTAGTCTTATAGTGTTTTTAGCGGTTATTGATATGTTTAATTCAATATTTAACACGTTTGTAATTCACTTTCAAAGTAAATGAAGTTAGCTAAAGCTAGTATGGTTGTCTCATTGAACTTCTACCTAGCTCTGTTAGCATTCACTTTGGTTTTAAATGACGGTTATTGCAAGACATGGTCTTTGTTCACTTTTTTATTATCATTTGCATTTTTCTTCTTTCTTTCTTTCTCTCTCCTTTTATTTTAAGCATTCGGCCTCTCACAGTAATGCAAGTTAAACTAGCATGCGCGATTTGCTAAATATTAGCTGTGTCCAAATTCAGGGGCTGCATCCTTCGAATTGACTTGATGCTAGTGCATGGGAAAAAGAGCATAAACACGAGGTCAGAGGAAAAGGCAATGGCGGATAGTTATGAAAATTGCCTGTCGGACCTTTACCGCAACTACCGCATCTTTATTGCATAGTGTGAAAACTGCTATTACATTTGGCAACAGATTGGATATTTATCTGTGAATTTTATATTGCAAGAGGTATTTATATGTATTTGTATTTTTTTTATACATTTGCAACAAAGTAAAAAAAAATCCACTGTGGAATTTTTTATAAAATAATTTTTTCTGTTTTCTTTACCATAGTAACACCACAAAGAAAGCTGACCCCTTTTTCTGATTGTTTGTGCCTCCTCTTTAATACATGGTAAGCCTTTTACCATCATATATTTTTTATGATAGTTTTATGATTTAATCAAAGTGAAAAAAGGTGCCAATAAACTATCCTTAAAACTGCTTTTCTTTTTTTCTTTCAGTGACTTGTATGTGGCAGTGCAAGCGTTGTTCATCAGGGAGAGTAGTAGGTACAATTATTGAAACACTGTACAGGGCTCGCAAAATGGCTAGCCCGACGTCCCAGGGCTAGCGATTTTTCCAGTCGGGCTACCAAATCTATCTCTGCCCTGCCCGTCGGGCTGTCATAAGAAGGAAAAATATATGTCAATGCTTTTGCATTCTTTCGGAAATGTAGCTGGGTAATTATGTCATTGGCATCGGTGAGCCACTGTCAATATGTGACATATTGAAATCGCGTTTGAATTTGCGCTTGTTTTTTGCTTTCACTTTGCAATCGCGCGACCTGTGTATAGAGAGCGACAGCACTGATCTGTGAGTGATGATAATTTGTGCACCAATTCCTCTGACATCGTCTTATCAATCGTTAGCTTACTATGCAAACATGACAAGTGAAATCTCCCGCAGCTTAAACATGTGAGAGGTTGATCGCGCAGACAATCGCTGAGTGTTATGTGAGTGCGTGTGTAAAGCAGCAGGATATTAATTGTAGTTCTGCTTAGCCAAATAGACAGGTCAGGGTGAAGAAGTGACAGCCAAAGAAAAGCTTACCACAAAACGGAAAAGTTATGACAAATCAGACTATAAGGCAAAAGAAAGTGCAGCTTTCTGGTTTCATGGACAAAAGAATTTCTGTGGCTGCAACATGACGAGCTATATAACCGGGCTGCACATAAGTGGTCCGCAAGTGCGTATTTGCTGTCAAAATAAAAACGCGCACAAGATAAGAAGTTGCAACGCGTGTTTGCATACATAAGATTTTCTGGAGGAGGACATATTTGTTTAGAACTCTTAAATATGTCGAAGAAGCTCCTTTAAGCAATTACTTTGGTTTTCCTCCACCTCCAAAGAAATGTCAGAAGGAGTCCGAACCACAAAAGAAGCGCGTATTCTCGCAAAAGTGATTGCAGGAGGTGAGCTGGCTTCAAACAAATGATGAACACACAGATGTGGTGCAGAATGTGCCGTGAAAATCCCACTCTAGCGGACAAAAACAGTGCCTTTTATATGGATGCAAACGTGCGTTGCAACTTCTTATCTGTTGCGCGTCTTTTATTTGACAGCGAATGCGCACATGCGGACCACTTATGTGCACCCGTGTAAATAACATAATGTTCTGCCGGGTGTGTTGTTGGTTTTCCCTCGATTTCTGAGTCGACAAGCGCCTTTGTTACTGGGACCAGTCATTTTAAGAAAGGCCCCCATTAGAAATGGATTATTGCTCAGTCTGCAATATCTTTCCCAGAACAAACACCAATTGCAAATAATATACTAAAAATAAACCTGAAAAATCTGTTTAGAACAGCATACTGTGTTGCAAAGAGTGAACTACCACTGGTGCAATTTAGCAGTTTTGCAAACTTCAAAAAGCAAATGGCCTAGATCTTGGTTCCACTTGCCTCTTACTTGTGACTTTAGTGGAAATTTCAAATTCAGTATCTGACACAGACTGATTCATGTCCTACACAGACAGCACTGATGTCTGCATGGTCTTCTAAAAGCAGCTTTAGTCAGCTTAGATGTGAAGTGAGTGAATATACAGTTGCGTTTTTAATCAATGTATTTGTTCTCTATTGCAGATTGAGAAGGAGTTTCTGCGAATCACCACAAAGCCTCTGCTATCTACTTTCTTTGCCGAGCTTGACCAATACGCGCCACGCTTAATGGAAATCTTTCTGACCAAAGGAGGGACACGTGGAAAGAAAATAAGAGGTCTCATGCTTGCCATCTCCAAGGTTTGTATTAGGATTGAGTAGACTTTGTCATAGGCAGCAAAATAACTTTTATTTGGAGATGAAGTTGTCAATTTTGTTTCGGCTTAACAAGTGGTACATGCCAGGTTCTAACCTAAAGAATAATTATGCAAGTTAACTGATTACCCTAGCTTTAAGAAAAACAGACTGGTTTTGGCTCATATTATCTCCTCCTCCTCTCCAGCATGACAACATCCATACCAGACGAGCATGCATCTTGAAGTCTTTGTGCATCCACCTAAACGAAGACTATGAGAAGTTAATAAAGGAGTACTTGGTGAGCCATTGTGACAGCATGTTGTCTGTAACATTCTCATACAAATTGTGACGTTGCCTCAAATGCAAATCATTAAAATTAAAATTTTGAGATTAGCAACAAGACACCTGGTATTGGGAAAGGATGTCTTGAATACCAAACAGTATTAAGCGTTGCAATAAAGAATTTCTGGAATTTGGTATTGGAAGGAAAGAAATTTATGCCTACTTAAACTTGATACACAAACATACAATGCATTTAACATGCATCAAGACTATATTGCTTTTGAATCTGTACTTGGATTAAAACAAGTCCTGTTGTTTTTTCATTGTTATGGTCATCAGTATTTGTAAATAGAAATGTCTATGAACTTTGAGCTGTTTAGTACTAACACTTCTATATAGGGCTGCCACGATTAGTCGACTAGTCACGATTACGTCGACTATCAAAATCGTCGACGACTAATTTAATAGTCGACGCGTCGTTTGAAGCTTTGTAAGATCACAAAAGACACAGGAATCAGTAGGATTTAAGAGTGTAATAATGGACTGAAACAGAAGATGGCAGCACTGCATGTCTAAGGATGCCAGCTGCCGTTAAACCCCGAAGAAGAAGAAACTGTGTCCCAGAATTCATAGCGCGGCCCATCGCGGCCCTGCTTAGTTTCCAACGATGGCGGCAGCAAGTTAGTTTTAATATTACTCTTATTATTCTTTATGGGTCACAAAATAAACGTTTAACATATTTTCAGGCGAGAATGTAGCTGTGTAAACCTCAAATATCTGCTCAGTTTATCAAGACACCACATATTTTCAAAAGCGCTCCGACGTTTTCGGAGGCATCTGTTACCCACTAGCTCGATAGCTAGCCGGGGGCTAGGCTAACTAGAGCCGTGAGAACACCGGACTCCCGGCAGCTCGTTTTCAAACCCACCGCTGTCTTTCACTACTCAGGTTAAACATGATATATAAGTCACTTAGATAACTTCAAAATGTTGTTTGGCTTTTTTCAGTGTTTTATTTGTTCCTGAGTAAATCGGTTTGGATGAGATTAAAGTTATAGTTTTTACACAGCTGAATAAACGTCAAGCAGACAGCTGATTATCAGAAGTGTGAGATGCTGGAGAATTTACTCCGGTGTCCCGTTATATTTTAGATAGCAAGGAGTTTATTAAACTCCACCGAAACACTCTGCAAATGTCATTAAAATTTAATAAACTATCATCTTGTCTTTATTTTTAGTTAGCACATACCTTAAACACTTAAAGCTGAAAGCTAATGATAGTTATATAAGAGCAGATGCTGCTGGTGCAATAAGCTGTATGCTGTATGTTCAATGGATGATGATCTGATTAGTCGACTAATCGCAAAAGTAATCGCTGACTAGTCGACTATCAAAATAATCGTTTGTGGCAGCCCTACTTCTATACCTGTTTTATTTTAGCAGCTGAGTTAGCCTTTTCTCGAGTCCTGTCCCCCTAAGTTACTCTTGCTACGTCCGACAAACAAATGGTTTCCTCTGCGCACCAATGGGTACCCGAATGTGCGAGCAGACATGCTTCATAATGTTCGGTACATTTACCTGGGAATGGGGCCATACACACTGTTTAATCCATTCACGTTGTTTTTGACTTTGTGAATGGAAAGAACACAACTCCTCCAGACACAATCTCTCGGCGTATCGGTGGGCACACCGCTTCTCCATCTTGCTTGAGGTTAATGTTTGTCAGACACAGTAACGGTTGCTATAATGTGTAATTGGACAATGGCCCTTTCGGGGGAGGGGCCGGTGAGAGGTCAATTATGCCACCTCTTTTGACATGAGAGGTGTATTTTATAATTTATGTATTGGAGTAATTACTAACAACTACTTTAGTGGTGTAATTTTCTGTTTATTACTTTGACTACTTGGATTTTATGAACAGCATAGAAACAGTTGTTTAAACAATCTCTTAAATTTTACTTTGTTGTCTTATACTTTTTCATGTAGGATACGGACAGCGAGGCAAAAAGCTGCATGGAGCAAACTGTGATGGGGGTGTACGTCATCCAGAAGGAGGGTGCTGAACCTGAAGATGACCCAGAGGACGTTGGTGTCATGATTGAGGGTGTGGAGGCTAACACTGATTTGGGTAACATTGCACAAGCATGTGCTCTGTTGTTTGGACTCATATACCGTTTGAACCTGAGCTACCCACCAGAACTTAAATGCACCTTTGAAGTCCTCCAGAAGATACTTTTAAATCTTGATGGACAAAAGCTGTCTTCAAAGGTACAGTTTCTGAAAAACAAGCTTATGGGGTGAGAGCACTTGAAAATGACTGATAGGTCTTGAATGGTTCATTGGTGCAATGGTGATTTCCAATATATAATGTTAATATTTGAGTTGTTTATATTTTTTTTCTTTCATTTAAAACATTGTTTTTTAAGTTTTTGGATTCTCTCTGTTGGGCAATTCACCTTTTATACAGCACTGCAGATGATTTTTGTTTGTCCTTATATAGATGGCTCAAAATGGATCAGAAGTACTGACAGAAGTACTATGTTGTGTTTATGTATCAAGGTCCTGTAAAGTTTAAGACCACTGCCACCTGTTAAGTTCACTGTATTATTGTTTCCATTTTGCTTGCTAGCATGTTTTAAAACACAGCAAAACTATATTGCTAGCTGTGGAGGACTGCAACCAAAATTAAAAAAATAAATACAGAAATATAAAAATTGGTCAAACTAATAATTATTTCAATGAGATACACCAAACAAATATAGATTTTCATCACATATGGAATTTTTTGTTGTTGTTGTATTGCCCCCAAAATATTTCTAATTATTTTATTTTATTTTTCCAAATTCACACAATTCGATTTTGTCACATGTTTTAACTTGCCAAGTGGGAGATGTATTTTTATCTTTTAGTTTAATTTTTTAAAATGCAGTCGATATATTGAGCAAATTTTGCATCTGTTTTTAGTTGTGGAAGC